GTAGATACGAGTGCATGTATGTACTCATACATGCATCGTATCTACTCTCTTGCACGTTGCAGGGACGAATGGAGACGTTACTGGCGCCCGCTCGAGGAACTCGATGATCAACGGGAGCACAGGTGATACAGGTGATTTCGCAAGACGCGGAGCGTTTGAGGCGGCGTTCAGACTTCGCGATGACCGCTACCGCTGCAGTGGTCTTCCCATCCCATACACTTGAACGCTGCCGCCAACGATAATCGACGCGCCGGCCGCTCGTATTTTGAGAGAGTATAGGATAACAAGATAACAACCGCTGCCTTCACACAATCTGGTACCCTCCTATTCTTCTATACTCCCTTGAGCTCTAGAGGCCAATCGATACCAGACTGTGTGATTAGGCAACGTGTACTCTCCTATCCTCTCATACCCTCTCACAGTACAAGAGGCTAGCGTCGATCGATTTCTGCGGCTAAATCCACGTTTATACCATTGGAGCCACTGCAAAGGCAGCGCGTCGAGGCGTGTCATCGCCCAGAAGTCAGAACGTTGTCTGAGCCCGCCTTGAGCCAACTACCCTGCGTTTATGCGCTAGTTCAAGAATAATGCCAATGCCACAGTAATACCAGTTTTCCACAGGAAACTCTATAATTCAAAGAAATGGTGCAAGCTTCGTTCGTCTCATTTTTCATTATCTTTTTTTCTACTTTAGAAGGTACTAGCTGTTCAAGTATGCTAAGTAACGACTGTGAATGTGAGCCAAGAGATGCACAAAGGCTGTGGTAATTGACTGGTACGTATGAAACCAACAAGTTGGGGAAACAACTGAAGTGAAAGGCGTCTTGTTTCGAGCATTCCTGGCGGTTTCCTTGGTTTTTATTTCCTCCACTACCGATTCAACCAGCACCTACACTTTCATTACTGAGCGCTGCTGCTACAGGCATGCAGTCGTGGAAGATGTTTTTAATGGCACGCCCCGCATTCAAAAATGGCCAGTTGTCCGGCTCAAATACTGATGACAAGATGGTAAATGACACAGAAGTGAAGAAAAGAACCAGCCCGAAATGCCTCATATAGAATCCCACGCCAAAGAGCGTTTGCATGTGCACAAGGAAAAGAAAGGGCGGGGTCGGACGAGTTCACACTGGTTCAGGTTCTTTCTTCTTGTCACATCTCTCCCAGAATTTAAGAGAAAGAGAGAGCTGGTAGCGGAACCATCAGGAAGCCTTTAGAAAGGAAAACTGAGCGTAGCAAGTGCTAATGGGCAGGAATTGCCTTTTATTCCTCAGGTCCACGGACAACTTGAACTCCCCTTGAACGCGTCGATCTTCTCTTTTTCTCTGCACTCTCTCGTCCGCATGGCACTCTATGGCCGTTGTGACTTCGCACATTCCAGCTTTTCACTGATTATAAGTAGCACACTTACTCCGGAGTCCCTCCTCTTGGAAAAAACCCGTTTCGAGGCTTGCCATATGTTTCTTGCACGTTTCGATGCTTTGGCAGCCGCTGTTCCTCTATCCGTCTGCGTCACAGGGTTTCGTAACAGGACCATGCACAAAAGTTCAAGATGTCAGTAACCGTTTCCTCATGTTTTCGAGCCACGAAAGTAGTATACTCTCTATCATGTCTATTGAACAGCTAAATAAACGCGGAACCTGCAGTCAAAGCCCCTAGCATGTACCACACGTGTAAGGAGTGGTTTTGAGTGGAGAACGTGAACAGGCTACCAATCATAGATAGCTCATAAAATACCGTGCATAACTTATCTCCAATTCTACCGAGAAAGCACCATTTAAAACAGTAGTACCTTTCGCATCAGATAGCTGCTTCCTTTCTGCATCGCGCTGCTCCTTTGAAACTGATGAGCGCATTCCCAATGTATTTTCCACCATTCTACGAGCGACACCAGCATTAGTTTTGGGACGGGCCCTTCAAAGAAAAAGAAAATAGATATTTATCAAAGATGTACTACAGAATACCGAGGATTACCTTGTGGGTTTCAACTGCGCCTGGATCTCTCGAGCCTTCTCTTGAACGCGTGCTGGTGATTTCGCAAGTGGCCGTAATCGTAACCACTGATGCTTATGTAGCACCAAAGCATCGCGTGCTAAACAAAATCCTTCCACTCAGCACAGAAACGAACAAAACAAGTAATGTATACCTTGGCGTTCGCTAGCAAACACCACAAAAACAATCTTGCGTTCCAACCATTTCACTGTGGCATTACCCCAGTCGGTAGCCGCCAAAGCGTTCACCACATCTTCAGCAAGCTTGTATTCAGGTACATCGTACGCTTCAAGGACATGTGGCAACACTGTAAAGAAAATTATTCTGGGAAATGTTTACAAAAATATAAACCACTAGTAAAGATACTGGGAAATGGCTAATGCCGTTTAAGTTGTCGTTGGAGCAAGGGTTAGTTCAAAGCGCTCTCAACTAGCTTTCGAAATAAATTCCTGTGACTATTCCTACTGATTTCTCTATAATGAGCCAGACATCACATCTCGTACGCAACGGCCGCGACGTTGCTGACCACGCCCACCAACCCGGCGACCCACCGGGCCCCCACGATTGGATCGCCATATACCCAAAAAATCAAAGATGAGCTCAAAGTGTAAGCTATTATAACCCACGAAAAGGATCCCAAGGAGTTGCAACTTCCACGGGTGGAGCGAAATAGTTGATAGGACGTCGTGGCGTCTTGGACGCTACTTCCAGCTTCAACGCACTCATCTGAATATTTTCATGACTTAGTTAAGTGAACATAAATTAAGGGAAAGCAGGAAATCGATGAAATGAACAACCTGCTCCTCAAGTTTCGTGTCATCCAAGTTTTCCCATGAGTCACCATCGTCATCTCCTGTTACGACGGGCTCTTCTGGGATTGAAGGAGCAATATCCGTGGGTTTTGCTTGTGAAGTGGACTGTCCAGACACATCCATTAAGCTAACAATGGGCTCGAATTTGTCAGCTCCAGCTGTAGACGCTTTCAAATCCATGGCCGGTAGTAGGTCTTTGGCTGGCTTTTCTGGAGAGTCACACTCCGTCAAGTTGTCCATGTATAACTTGCGTACCGCCTTGTTCTGCTTAGACGTTGTCACTTTACGCAGTTCGTCCTGAAACGAAATACTCTTCGATTCGTTATAGACTTGAAGTCATGACTTCTCTACTGTAATTCACACCCAAAACTTAATTCAGAATGAACGCACAAAAAGAAATTATTCGAAACCAGAAGTTCAGTATGCAAAAAGATTGAAAGCCGCCGGTGGGTTAAGAAATTTTGTGCGCGCTGTCGTAATTTTGTGCGCGTTGTACGTCTCTGCGGTTACGTGACATCTTGAACTTTGTGCGGGGTCCTACAGCGAAACCAGAACCCAGACAGCTAGAGGATAGCTGCTGCCAAAGCGTCTGAGTGTGCACGAACATGTGGTAAACAGGAATAAGGACTTTTTCAAGAAAAAGTGGGAGCTGAAGCAGAAGAACCTCTTATAACTTGCAAACAACAGGAACGATAAGGTCATAGTAACGGTAGAACGTCTTAATGACGAGTGAGTGAGAGAAAAACAGAAGATGGATGCAGTCAAAGGGACTAAGATCAATTGCCCGTAAACCTTCTGCAAGCATGCTGGTAAGTGCACCTTATCCCCTCAAGTCAGTGAGTTGAATCAGTCTTACCTTGAAGTCCTGCGCCGGAGTAAGGGGTGTGATCGCTACACCAGAGAACAAACTCTCGATGACACCTTTTGCCAGCGCTTCCGTTTCGTCTTCGCACCGAACTGAATCTGGTGTAGCGCAACCGCTTATCGGTGTAGACCCTAAAATGATAAGGTCGGTGTAAAAACAACAGTAATAAAGCAAACTAGAACAACTGTAACCAAATACTAAAATCACTATCACGAACGCATAAGAAAACTGGAAAGCAATTAATAAGAAATTACCACGGAAATAATTATCGAAGCTGACGTGTCTCGTTTTATCCTCAATGAAGCTTCTGGTGGAGTCGATGCACTCAAACAACTCCCCACTACCAAAACCGGTACCTTCGACTCTCAATCCTGAAATTTAATACTCAAATAATAAAGTGGAAAATAAACTGACATCGGTGCGTATCGTCAGGAAGGTGCCAAGGGGAAGTCTGAGAAATAATGAAGCGGAAAAGGAATAATCGCTAAAATCACGTTTAGTATGCTCATACCACAATGTAACCAATTCAGTAAGACGGAGCGGAGGGCAGATTGCATTATGTAGGAATTAATCACGCACGTAATCAATCGGTCACCTTGCGCTTTCAACAGGATCTAGCACATGTATAGGCAGAGAAAAAATGATAACTATACTTAGTTTTGTTGGTTTAGTAGAGGTTCCTCCTAATAACCTAAAACGTCGCCTAGTTCGAAACCGCCTCTACGATCGCACATGTGTAACCCCTGATTGTGTAGTTTGCCCTGCTGGCAGGCAAGGAGACGCAGTGTGATCTGCAAGATCTCCTGTTTAACTTGTGGAGATGAATACATTGGTGAAACGGCTAGGCCACTCCATGTGCGGATCAAGGAGCATCTGGATGGAAAGTCTAGACTGCGTGTATCAACCCCATTAGGATGTCACAGGGTACAAGACCACAACGGAGACGATTTTGGAGTCACGGTAGAGGTTTTAGAGCGCGAAGACCAACTTTCCGCGCGAAAAACTCTCGAAGCATTCTGGATTCAGGTCAGGAATCCAAGAATGAACCGAAGGGGAGAATGCTTATCAATCACGCGAGAGCTATCTCCCTATATAAGATTAGCATTTAACGGCTCTGGATAGTCTCAGTTCGAAAACTTCCATCACCGAGGCTCGTCGTTTGATCCGGTGAATCCGGTTGAGGTATGTTAGCTGTTTCACTCGTATTACGTGCTGGACTTAGTGGGGTCGAAAGGGTAAGGAGTGCGTTTGATGCTGGGTCGGAGATCATAATTCGGCTTGACCCTTTCAGGCTCCGAAGAAGGCGAAACCGCCGAAACGTCAGCCGATAAACGTTCATAACAACCTCGTCTATGCAGTTTAAAAAAGTTATAACAACATATATAAAAAGCAGATGCCGACGCTAAGAGAGATAGGACTTGGGATTTAGTTCAAATGATAACGACAGTCAAGAAAAATGTACGACGTGCGATGGCAAACTCGTACTCATCGCTCCGCCTCGAAGACGCGGTTTTTATATGGCGGTTTGGAGCATCGTTGGAAAGAAAAAAAAAGAAAGCAAGCCGTTAATTACCATGGACATGTATCTTATGGATAATTTGACCCTACAGATTCTCTGCTGTTCCAAGTTTCGTTCTACTACATGTTAATTTCGAAGGCTGAGTAAGCGTCACACAAAAAACAAATTCCTTCAGCGGTTTCGGATGAAAAGGAACGCACTTTCTGGCAGTGACTCACCCATCGGCTCCAATCAATTCCTCATACATAGGCATATTTGTTTGAACGCAGTGGGCACTATTATTCGACTAAGCGTGTGGGGCAAATACAGCTATTAATAGCAAAAAAAGATTCTGGGTCCACGAACAGATAGTGTGGCGCGTTTTTCAACGAGTTCAAGGAGCACTTAAAGTGACTTAGCAAGGCCGACCACCCTCAACGCTACCACTTATAGGTGAACTAGTACAGTGTAATGTAATGCCCATGTATAGTCGTCATCCCTGCAAATGACAGGGCGTGTTGTGAGGATGCGTCAATTGGATCGCATCATTGATGGAAATTACGCCGTCACAGCACTCAAACCCATGCCCATCACACGCCCTATCGTTTGCGGGATTACGGTTTCATACACTCTAGTTCGCTGCGGACGTTTGGGCGTGTCAGGCAGTATGAGTGTTCACACCAAACCGTTCTCTGCCTTCTTGTTGAAGCGCGCATGCGACAAAAAGTGGTAGAAAACGAGTAATACGAACGATATGATACAGTCTTTCACTTGCTCGCTTTAACAACTGGTGGAGAACGGGTTTGGCACCGCGCCAAACTCATCCCGCCTGAAACACCCAACTCTAGGCAGCGAACCACACTATATCACTTGGAATCTTGGCTTTTCACCTTTCGATTAACGTTTCAATATTACCAAATTATATGCAATTCAGTTTTAGATTACATATCAATATTAATTAGATAAAGGAAGGTTCCACTACTTCAATTCAGTTACAATTAACGGTTTCATTATTACATATAGCTGACATGCTTGTGAAGGTAGGTGGCTACATAGGCTACACCAGCGGTTCTCACATGCAGTCTGGTGCTAAATGGCACTTTTTAAATTTTATCAGGGTTTCCTCGAAAGAATGGTTACGAGACACCTGTCAACCAGACTTTCTGTCGCGGAGCGGTTTATTTTTAGTCAAAGCGCTATGTGATACCGGTCGCCGGATTTGTTACGATTTTCTCCATCGCACTCTATGGGTATTCCAGATGCAATACCACAACGGATCCCTCTTTTGCGCCGATGTTGAAAATGGATGTCACATACATACATCAGCAGCTCATAAATTTGAGGAAGTGTTCAGACTTAGAGATGGAGCGCGTCGACGCGCTACGACATGCTACCATTGCAATGACAAGGTTATAAGTTGAGGAAAATTGGCGAGAGACAATACCATCGAAACAGGGCGTGAAATAATGTGTCAGTTCCGTGAAAGCACGCAGTGTAGCATATCGAACGTAGGCCGCTTTAGTCTTTTTCGTAGCTGGTTCAGTAGACATGCATAGCACAGAGAGCTCGTCGGAGAGTCGATGCGCTGCAGGTTACTACGTGAGTATTCCACGTACATCACCCCGCTTGCAACGCCCATTTTATTGCGTTTGCGACGACTGAGAAGGAACGCTCCACACGGCAGATTTCAGCCACAGCATGTACTACAGTAATGCATTTTACCGTTAGGTGGACGGTCGCATACGCATACAGCAAATGGTGCGATTGAGGAGTCCTCACTGAAAGCTTCTTCTTCAGTCTTTCGAGGGTTCTCGTTTGGAGGAGGTGAGATAGGGCTAGGTGAGGGAATCACTATTCATAAGGAAAGACGTGGGGAAAAACAGAGGTTTTTTAATTGGGACCGCGTTTGCACTGCGATTTTGCAATATCGGCGACTACGGTTTGCAGGGGGATCGATTCTCAAATAATCTAGTCGCGCACTCTTCCTCATTACTGCCCTGCCCGATCGATACTCATACTTTCCTTCATCGCCGACTGCTAAATCGTAGATTCTCCACGTCTGCACGGTATAAACGCCCACGAAAATTGCGGTGCTCTTCCAGTCAAGGGGGAGGGACATTCTAATAGCAATCGCTCATGCGCGATACGACATCCCAGTTTTGTACGAGGATGATTTGAGCTGCGTTAATACTTCGCGCCAGCGTCCACCAGCGACCACCAGCGTCTCAAGCGTACGCCAGCGCCAGTCAGTAGGAAAGTATAGGTGTCGGTCTAGAACGCCAGTGTCCACCAGCGTTTGCCGGCGCCGACCAGCGCCAAGGAATGGAGAGGGTGGGGAACAAGGAGGGTAGTATACAGCTGAATTAAGCGTTGCGAAAGTGCAACCGCACCGTGCAACTGCTAAAGCGTAAAATTATGCAGTGTTGGTGTACGGCTTAGTGCAGTCATACGACACGGTTGCACACGACGCGATTTCACGACGCCTAATCCAGCTGTCTGCTACTCTCCTACTTCCCCATACTCGCCACTACTGGACGACGCTGTACGGCGACAAACGCTGGTGGACGCTGGCGCTGGCTAGGTAAATACCTACACCTTCCTAGTACGCTTGAGTCGTTGTTTGACGCTGGTGGACCTTGGTAGATGCGGGAGTTCACTAAATCACTATCCACAATTTCCCAGTCGCCGGCCTGGCGTACGCTCCAAACGCTGGTGGACGCTGACGCGAGTTATGAACGCAGCCTCACAACTAAGAATAGCCTCAGCTACATTTCTAGACTACTTTTAGGTTTTTTTTTCATTCAGCGTTGGAACGCGCGAAGAAATGATTGCAGGCTAAGGGGATGAGGACTGTCCTGTCGTTGAAATCTGTGAGGTGGAACTCCAAAATGGGCTAACCAACCCTTTGTACTCCCCATTTCCTTATCGAAACTAGGTGAAAATCGAATCTTTCGAGCGATAATAAGAAAACGTTCCTCGCGGTTCTAAGTTCCTTGGACGCCTGCGTCGTGAAGCCTTACCTTTGGAGGACGGACAAGACGACCGTTTCGTCGCGTATTGTGCCAGTCATGCGCATCAAACTGTCGATTGCAACAGCGAAATTCATGTGAATTCAAGCAAGGACAAGGCTCCATGACGGATCACATCCAATCTTCTCTTATTTCTGACACGCATATTCAAACGACTAAGCAGCAGATCTCGTCCGTCGAGCGCGGCGCTGCTCACCACGCCCGCTAGCGCGGCATATAATGATCGTCCTATCCTATACCCCTGACCGACCGGGGAAGGGAGAAATTCCCAATTAGTAATACGCATATTTAAATAGTTACCTATCACTATTTCACAGCAAATGAGTCATAATCTAATACGAACCAAAGCCATACGTACCTGACCCCCAGAAAAGTGGGGGTTTCTGTGCCAGCGGTTCTGAAACTCTTCGGCGACTCGGGGAAGCTTTCTGGTCTCTCCAAACGCGCTTCTGGATCAATGCCTCCGATTTAGGAGTTAATACTAAAACAAAATATTATATATGTGTACAGTTTACCACATAAGATATCGAACATAAACTTACGCGGTTCAAAGTTCTCACTGAGATTTAAGAACGGGGACGATGTTACTGGATGACTGTCGTAATGAGCGACGCTGCTCAATGGCTCATGAGAGCTGAGCTTCTTCGCGTATGGCAAGCGTTCAGGACGTTCAGGACGTTCAGGACGTTCGGGACGTTCCAGTGATGACTGGCCGCTTTTATCAGTACCTGATCGATTTGTAACCTATAAAAGAGGAAATGAAACCAAGACGAAACTCGATGAATACAGCAGTACTGCTACGCCTTACTACTTCGATGCTGAGAAATAAATAAAGAACATGAACATGATACTGGTGTAGCTAAGATATCACGCTACTACTGGTTCCCTTCAAGAACGCTTTTAATGAATGCGGCGTGATAAAACAGTCTTTAACCCTCCACGGACAGCTTTACACAGCGTTCATAGTTCGCGACTTCCCAAATTGACGGACAGCGATCAAGCGCGCCCCATTCCTAATCGTTGCGCCGACGTAACTGCAGGTCTAACCGTTCTACAGCTCTAAAAGCTATTAGAAACGCGCCAAATTTAAATTAAGCCTAAGTAGGGGTGAAACAGTCACCTCGCCACCCAACAACAAGAACTTTGAGCTCCTTCGCGCGTGTGTGCGTTTTCAAAGACGCAGATAATCGTAGTTGAGGGGGTCAGACGGCGACAGCACATCCGACCAAGATCTCTGCAAAGTCTCGCGCCTCGTCGTGGGTGCAGGAAAATGAACGCGGTAGCGCCGTCTCGTGGCCCCCTTCAGCTACGGATGACCTTTTTTAAGTCCCCAGCACGTCTACAAGTAGCTCCCTGTCGCGCTGCTCGCAAAACGCCGCGCATACAAACGCATCTTCTCTGACTATAAACTTCTCTTCACACTCAGAATGACTATGTGAGGACGGATTAGAGAAGTAGTCGATCGAAATTCGACATCGATGTAACACGGAATAGACGTGTACGCAGACTCTCAATTTGTTTATACTAGTTGTGACCTTGGATGAATCGAGGTCAGAGCTTCCATGATAGAATAGGGTTTTCAAGTCGCCGCTCTGATACATCTGTGACTGCCGTTGTTGTTCTTCAAAGCACTCGTTGATGAATTGGACCTGAAAAGCGTGACATCTCCACCTTAAATGTTCAAACGGCTGGGCATGGTTCAGACTTCGCGATGACGCGCGTCAACGCTACAACTGCAACAGTGCTCAGTGCTATAAACGCGATCGCAGCTGCAGACGGGAACTGATCTGCGCCAGCCGCATGAGGGGAAAAAGAGGACGCATCGCCTAATCATACAGTCTGGTATCGATCGGCACTGACCGCTGGTGCACTGGTATAGTGTAGAGGAATAGGAGAGTATCATACTGTATGAAGGCACGCCTACTCTCATGCTACTCAGTACTCCCTCAAAATGCAAGAGACCAAAGTTCCGGGATGCGGCCGCGTTCGCGCAGTAGCACCGAGACCCTTGCATTGGTAGCGCGTCGACGCGCATTACAGCGCACTACAGCGCGTCGACGCGAAGTCTGGACGCGACTCGGTAAAACAGTGTTTTCAGCACATCGCCGTTCTCAACGACAAAAATTACAAACAGCGATCTTAGGAGAACCGGCTTTGTGAGCGTATTGAACGAATAGGCATTTTCAACGAAAAAGGAAGTAGGAGAATCGATCTTGCCTTACGGGAGAAACGCCAGCGTTTTGAGCAAATCAGCCTGAGAAGAGGAGGAGCTTCGGGGTGGATGCACCAATTAAAAGCACTCTAGGGTTGCAAGCTGGGTTGTTACTGGGTAATTCTACTCAACGGAGGGCATTGCCGTTTTGCACAAGGCGCCTTTCAGATGTCCCCCTCCCCTACCTCTCAAGTTTATCAGCGCCGAATCAACAGGATACGCTTTCAGACAAGAAGCGCGATTTCGAGAATCCGCTGCTAACCAGGGAAGTCCGCCAACTTACCATGGAACTTTGAATGGAGACCTGGGTAGATCGATAGAGGTTATTTACAAATATAGATAGCAAAACTGCAACCTGCATTTCACAAGCAACTTATGAGCAGGTAAAGTTTGTAATGGTGCAGTAGGGTGGAGGCTTGGTGGTGAGCTGTGAAGCATAAGCGAGGAATCGCATACGTCGAATCGAGTCGTGGTGGTTCAGTGGTAAGGTTCGACGTTGCGATTCCTCGCTTATGCTTCACAGCTCACCACCAAGCCTCCACCCTACTGCACCATTACAAACTTTACCTGCTCATAAGTTGCTTGTGAAATGCAGGTTGCAGTTTTGCTATCTATATTTGTAAATAACCTTATAGACTCTATCGATCTACCCAGGTCTCCATTCAAAGCTCCATGGTAAGTTGGCGGACTTCCTTGGTAAAGGGTAAATGGGAACCGGTTCACTCCGCTCAATGAACACTTGTGCACTCCCTCGAATGGCCGATTTTTCGAGAAGACTGGTGGGCAAAATCAGTCAGTTCTCGTCTAATACCCTATTTCAGAAACCGCTGATTTTTTTGTTCTACCGGTTCCTGGATTCTTTAGATCGATAGCAATACTTTTTAACCGGGGATTCTCCGGAATCGCATACTCGAAACTATGGACGCGGCCTTGAAAACGCCTATGGAAAAATGCTGTCAAGTACAAATACTGCAGAGACAACCATTCCAAGCCATACCGAGCATATTGAACAAGGCTAGTACAAGTCGGGGTCAGCCGGTCTAAATGGTATGGATCGTCGCCGGCCCCGACGTTGAAACCGCCGCGTATCGGCAAAAATTGCCATGTCAAGTAGCAAGATAACTATGCAGAGAGCAGACCATTCCAGCCGCATACGATAAGGGAGCGCCCCAATATTGACGCACGAGCCTAAGTCAGCACCCGAGCAATCACGCAGCAAATGGAAATGAAAAGATACGGTCAGAGATCTTTCCGGTTCAGCAGGATCAGTTGGTGGTTCAGCCGAAGGGCAATTGCTTGATAGACGGCTTGACAGCGCTGGCGAACTGTGCCCTCCGATCAACGGACTCGAGTGATTTCGTTCCAGACGAATATGCAGCTCCTGAAAGTGTCACTACTAATGGAAGCTAAACTACGAAGAAATCCGATATTATAGAAAGGGAAAAAATGAAAATAGGCGCTTTTCAGATCACCCTCGATGCACGCATACATATCATCTACATATTATTTAGCCTCCGTATCTTTTCCGTACATTGAAGAGTTCTGAATAGCCGTGAATGCATATCGTTCGTATGAAAGAAAAATCGGTTCAAAACCATTTATTCAAAGACATTCTATAGACGATCCGGGAAAAGAACAGGTGGGCAGCTGTAGAAAAATATGGTTTTCGTCACTTAGGAATGCACAGAATGAAGCTGGAGGGTTGTAGCAGCTCGACGTTCTTTACGCCTCCCCCCCCACAATCAATACGCGACGAGCAGACCGCAAACACGCATCACGCCACACCACCACCATGACCATACCTACGCGTATTTGTTTGGGACTTCATCTATAAGGCATGCGCATCACGTTCGAACAGCGGGCGCTGTCAAGGATATGTAGCAATCTTAAGCGAACCTTGGACATTTCTACGGCTGCGAACCTGTCCACGACGTATATAGAAAAGATGAATCTTCAGTTTCAGGGTACCCCATTTTCAAACGCCGACCGTCATATATCACTGCAAAAAGAGGAGGGCTGTAAGAATGGAGCTCCAATGTTCGGTCCTATAGTGTGCGTTTACTAACTGTCACTGTCAAGCAAGCAGATTGGAAAAAAAAATAGTGAAGCAGCCTGGGCGAGTATGGAGTAACCTCAGCTGCAATATCCCCCTTATCCCTTCACTTGATGTCTTTTTAGGTTTCAAAGAGCCTTCAACGGCCGCGAGTTCGAAGTCGTCATACCTTGCCCCTGCTAAAGCAACGTTGAAACTCCGCGATGACACGTGTCGACGCGCTGTAACGTGCTACCACTGCAAGTGCGCTCCAGTGCTGCAGACGCGGCCGCAGTATCTGAGGGGAATCGATCGGCGCCGGCTGCTTGCGATTTGACAGAGTACAGGACAATAGGGGATGGGTGGGCGGGAAGGGACTAAGCGCTGCCTTCACACCATCTGACACCCTCCTACCTTATACTTCCCTGAAACACTAGCGGCCACTGGCGACGGGTACCATACTGTGTGGTCAGGCACGCGTACCATTCTACTCTCTCATATTCTCTTAATATACAGTAACGGCGCGATCGATTCCCGTCTGTGGCTGCGACTGTCTCTATAAGATGGTAGCGCCCTAGCGACGGCAACGCGTCTACAGGGGGGCCAAAAAAAAGTCATTCCGGCCGAGTCACATATGAGCGAAGTTTTCGCAGCCCAGACAGAGGAAGTGGATATGAGTACCAGGGCGGAAGATACCCAAGATCTTCCTCTATAAGCAGGAGCCGGCTGCCGCCATTCACCTTCATGTACACCAAAATATGAAGTCATCTCCAGTCGCGGCCTGAGTGGAGAACGCCTTTGGAATTT